AAGACTCAACTGGTGTGTTTTACAAAAAGAAACCATGTCCCAGAAATAAAAGTGAAACTCTATGGTCAGGTGCTTGACAATGACAATTTATTTATATAGCACAATTAATTAAAAATATGTCTTTAGTCTGGACTTAAAAATATTAAGAGAAGAAGCTTGTCTAATGGATAGTGGCAAGGCGTTCCAAAACCTGGGGGCAGCAATACAGAAAGCACGATCTCTCCTACACTTAAGCCTCGACTTAGGGGTAAACAATAGGGCCTTTCGCACCGCTTTAGTTCCAGAACTAAATTTACAGTACTAAAGTACTGGGCGATTTTGCGCAAACTATTTCCCAGTACCATTTAAAGGGTTGCATTCGCACTAACAGTGAGCACTAGGAAGTGATGTAATCCGGTCGACAGCGACGTCATTTGTGCGCGGCGTTCAACAACGGAAACAAAGAACAACAACGTAAACAACCGGAGGATGGAGTACACTGTGATCGGAGCTGTGTTGCACTTCAGTGTCCGTCCATCTATCGCTGTTCTCCATACTTGCGAAATAAGTCGACACGAAAGTACGTTTACATGGCGTTTTAAATCATGGCAGGTGAGGCCGTTTGGCCAATCAACGTCTACTTACGTCACGGATAGTACCAGTTGTGCTGGTTAGACCCTGCTCCGGAGTAGGAGCTAATTTGGTTCTCTAAAAAGGCAGTCCAGTACTAAAATCGCACCCAGTTCCGGAGGTGCGAAAACGCCAAAAAGTGGGTAGTTCCACAATTAGTTCAGGTACTATGAAAAGGTTTCCGTGGTGCAAAAGGCCCTAATAGATCCTGGTTGGAAGACCGAAGGAATCTAGCGGGTTGATACTCAGTCAATAACTCACAGACATAAGTAGGGCCTAGATGAAATAAAAACGTGAATTACTTTTTCAAAATCTTTAAAAGAGAGAAAAGGCTCTGCTTTAGAAAGCAAATCGCAGCTGAAAAAAGCAAGCTTTGACTGAATTTATTTGATGGTCAAACTTTAAGCTATCATCAAAAATAAAACCCAGGTTTTTTACCCATGGTTTCAAGCACAAAGACATCCCGCCCAAATCCAATTTTGTGGAATTTGAAAACTCAGACGGACTAAAAACAATAATTTCAGTTTTCTTTTCATTGAAAATTTAAAAATTTAATAAAAGCCAAGCCTTCACATCCGCCAAACATGCCATAAGAGACTCAAGACCCGCAGAATTGTGTTTGACAGGCAAATAAACCTGGGTGTCATCCGCATAACAGTGAAATGAGCCAAGAGGGAGCATATAGAGAGAAAAGAGCAAAGGAGCCAAAATAGAACCCTGGGGAACCCCACAGGGTAAAAAAGCATTACTCGAGTAATGTTCACCCATCTTGACTGAAAAACTCCTATTTGCAAAATACGATTTAAACCAATCTAAAGCTACACCTCTTAAACCAACGCAATGTTCTAAACGATCAATGAGAACCGCCTGATCGACTGTATCGAAAGCGGCCGTTAAATCTAAGAGCACAAGGACTGCAAAATCACCTGAATCACAGGATATTAAAATATCATTAAGAACCTTCAAAAGCGCAGTCTCGGTAGAATGACACTTACGAAAACCTGACTGAAATGTTTCAAACATTGAGTTATCAGCTAAAAAACTTTGTAACTCTGAAAACACTTTTTTTTTTTCCAGAATCTTGGAGATAAAAGGCAGATTAGAAATAAGTTTGTTAAAACTGATGAGTCCAGATTGTGTTTTTTAAGCAGTGGCTAGACTACTGCATGCTTTAAACAGTCAGGCATAATGCCAGATTCTAAACTGGGATTAATTATGATCAGAAGATACGGAGCAACATCAATAAAAACTTGCTTAAATAAAAAAGAAGGAAGAATATCCAAAGACGAGCCCGAAGGCTTAAGCTGCTCAACTATTTCCAGCAAATCTGAAACTGAGACTAGTTTAAACTGACAAAAAAAAAGATAGTGGAGATGGAGGGGTTAGACGGATTAAAAGACGAGGGAGTTATCCCCAGACGGAGATCCCTGATTTTACTATCAAAAAATAATAAAAATTCTTCACACGATGGCGAAGAAACCCCAGGAAAAAGACAGGCCGACGGGCTGAGAGTAGCATTAATAATGCTGAAGAGAGTCTTTGAGACCGGAGTCACATCACCCAAGAACTCAGCAACTCCGTTAAAAAGTTCGTATTGAATTTTGAACAACTGAAGTTCAAAGCTGCTGTAATTGTTGCTCGCCACCGAGCGACAGGTAAAATGTGGGGAATTAAAAAACAAACATTTAGATGGCAAAAGTTCAGAGAAAGGGCTCAAATCACCCGGACAGAGCCAGGTCTCAGTCAGAAATAAAAAATTCTGGTGAAGTAAAGTGACATGTAGCCAAGTACGGTGACCCATACTGGGAATTTGTGCTCTGCATTTAACCCATCCAAGTGCATACACACAGTAGTAAACACACACACCCACCCACAGTAGTGAACACACACACACACACACACACACACACACCCAGAGCAGTGGGCAGCCTTGTTTGCTGCGGCGCCCGGAGAGCAGTTGGGGGTTCAGTGCCTTGCTCAGGGGGCTCACCTCAGTCGAGGTGTTGAGGGTGGAGGAGGGCGCTGGTCATTCACTCCCCCCACCTACAATCCCTGCCGGACCTGAGACTCGAACCCACAACCTTCAGGCTCACCTTCGGGTTACCAGTCTGACTCTCCATTAACCATTAGGCCACGACTGCACCCCCCTATTTCTTTTTTTTTTTTTTTTGGGGGGGGGTGTTTAAAAAAGGGGGAGAGAACGCCGGCGATAAAAGCTTGGAGAGAAAACAGGAGAATATGCACCGGAGAGCGGGACCGACACAGGCGGAACCAGGGGGATTATCCACGCCCGAATCGGATCCAGGGAGCGCCGGCGAGCAACACGATCTCCAAAAACTCCATCCGAGCAGAGACCAAAAGAGACCGGAAGCTCTGTGTGTTTCAGCAGCGCAAGCCTTAGCTTAACAGCAGTGCCACCCCGTTTTCCCCAGCGTCGCCTCCGCCTCCGCCTCCAGGCCGGTAAGGAACATGGCCAGCGGCGTAGATATTCAGGTATGGACGATAGTATAAGAGGAGGAGTAGTATAATGAGAGCCATTCCGCAGCTGACATGGCAGCGCGTTTGCAGAAACCTGCAGATTTAAAAGGAATGCCTGAGCATAAGTCAGTACCAGTGAGCCACAACGCAGCGGCTGGCAGATAAAACAGATTAAAACAAAAACAAACAGCACATGGAAGGACAGACGGCAAGCCAGCCACACACACACACACACCTGCGCCATCTTAGATCTTCCCAATCAGGTTAAAAACTACAATGGTATGAATGGATTCCAGGCTGACTTTTAGGACACGTGCTCAGAAATTGTCAGATAAGTGTAACGAGAAAAAAAGAAGCAATAATAATGTATGAAGGTGTTTAGCAGGAATGGAATGGGGTGCTAATCGAAGATCTTTCAAAACGAATTTATAGTGCATCGATAAGATCAGCGTTGGATTATGGGTGTAAAATCTCTGGGTCTGCACCACTATGGTTGATTAGGAAATGGAAGCAGTACAGGCACTTGTGAAGAATATGCTGTGCGGCTTTTAGATCCTCTCCAGTGTCAGAATTGCAAGTGACTGAATTATTGGGTTAATCTGAAAGGACATTCTGAGACACACCCAGTTACAAAGGCTCAGAGGGAGTGCTGAGAGTATGGGAATATTATTATTATTATTATTATTATTATCATCATCAGACATTTTGCTTGGACAGCAAATAAGCATGCTCAGATTCTGGGTATTACAGAAATTACAGTTAGTCCAACTGTTGTCTTAGCAAATATACCTCCATCCTTATTCTCCATGCCTCAAGTTGTTCTTCATCTACAGTATAACGTTAAGAATGAAACATCTGTACCTAATTAGGTTGTTGTTCAACAGTATTTAGATCAGACATACACTCCTCAGTGATCCATATATTACCAGATGGTTCTAAGGATCCTATTTCGGGTCACACGGCTGCAGCGGTAAATTAAAAAACTCACCATATATCAGTTTTTACACCAGAGTTAATAGCAATCTTGTTAGCTCTATAACAGGTAGAGGATGTTTAGCCAAAGAGGGTAGTTATTTGCTCAGGTTCATGATCAGCTTTAACTAGCTTATTAAGTGGACAGTCTACATCAAGACAAGATTTAATATATGAAATCCTTATGAGTTTGCCTTAGAGTCCAGAATACGGGGATAGTCCTGCAATTTCTGTGGGTACCAGCACATGTGGGAGTTTTAGGCAACGAAATAGTGGATAATCTGGCCAAACAGCAATGAAACATATGGACGTTGAAATTCAAATTCCACTAAGCAAAGCAGAGGTAAAAGGACAAATTAAAGAACTCATGAATATAAAATGGCAAGAAATGTGGGACAGGGAAATGAAGGGCATCCAAGAAGAAGTTGGTAATGGGAGAATAAGTTTCAGTAGTACGAAAGAAGATACAATCTTCGAAGACATCACTCAACTCCAAATAGGACACTCTGGTTTAAATCATTCATTGCTCATAATAAGGAAACATCAAGCAGGATTATGTACATCTTGTGGTCATGCAGAGACTGTTGAATATGTAATATTACATTGTGTAGCATTTACTAGGGAAAGAGATGAGCTGTTGCAGAAATTCAGAGCTATAGGTTTAGTCGACTTCTCTTTACCAAATCTACTTAATTGTGCCTTAGAACAGTAAAAAAAAAAAAAAAAAAAAACAACAACAAAAAAAAACAAAGAGCAATGCTTTATCTCAAATTAACAGGATTAGATAATAGAATTTAACTATGCATACTGTATGCTTTTTATTTCCTTTCCTATTGATGCTTCACACTCTAGTCCAGTCGGTGTGTAAACCACCATCAAATCATACTCGAAGAAGAAGAAGCTACTTTATTTTGCCTGGTATATTAAACATGGAGTCTGGTTCCCTGGAGGATTAGTGGTTAGGCCTCGGTGCTCTCACCATCAAGGCCCGGGCTCGATTCCTGGCCAGAGAACCAACCGCAGAAGCTAGGGTCTCACACGACAGTGCACTTCCAAGTGCCAGTCTCAAGCCCGAATATAACTGGGGAGGGCTGCGTCAGGAAGGGCATCCAGCGTAAAAACTGTGCCAAATCAAATATGTGGACCAATGATCACTATGGTGACCCCTAATGGAGAGCAGCTGAAAAAAGAACAACAACAACAACAAATTAAATATGAAGTCTCTATAGTCACTGTTTTGTGATTAGTTTGAGTAGTAATAATTACAATGATATTATTAATAATATTAATGACTAGGACATGGTGGAGGCATTGTTATGGTTACGGAGTGCGAGCCACTTTGAAGTGTTCACGGTATGATATCCTAGTCTAAAAATACCACAATTTCACGGTATTATTCAACCATCTTAAAACACAGAAGCTGGCGGTCAAAATGAAAGGAAAAACATTATAAACATTCTGTGGTGCAAAAGTCTTTACACATCCTTTAACATCTCTTGGTACAATGGTGCCAGCTTCCAAAGCACAGGCTGAGCTGGACAAACGAGTAGTCCGTCATTTATGACAAAGTTAGCAACATGCAGGCGGTGTTTTGGAGAAGTCAGCTGTCTGATCTCACACTGTGAAACCATAACAACCCTAATCGGCACAGAAGCAGCTCTGGTCAGTGCATTTTTCTTCTCTTTCTTTCTTTCTTTTTTTTTTGTAGTGGAATCTGCTGATAAAGTGTATGTCCTTGAAAATCTTTTCACACGCTCTTGTTTGAATGATGTCATTGGAATTGCGAGTGTCCAAAATGAAACTAAAGCAGCAGTAAGAGCGACTCAGAGTTTATACATCCTTGTAGGCAAATCCACATGCAAATAATGATTACGGCCAAAAGCTATCCATAGGTCACCTATATCGTACGTGTTTGTAAATGCTGTTTGTCTTGCACTCTCTCTAGCTTTGGAAGAACATGATTGGCATAACAGGTTTACATGGTGCTGTTTATTAAGAATTTGGTTTGAAATGACTAGGAAGGAAGTGCGCCGGGCAAAGCAGTGACATTTTAAACAGGATAACGTCTTTACTTTTTCAAACAGGTAAGCCAACTCGTACGCAAAGTCCTGACAGTTAGCGGGGTTGGAAGTTTCGATCGTGACCGGCGTTGCCGCTGAAACGGCTACAACCTGCAGCTTCACTAACCAGAATAATTTCATTGACAAATAAAGGACTAAAACTGATCAAAAAGTAATTTACTCTTTTTTGAAATTCGCTCTTTTATTGTGAGAATGTTAAGAAATGTAATGCCTTTACGATAAGCATATGGCTCGGCTTAAGACAGCGCCTACGCCCAGCAGGAAGTCAGCCATTTTGTATTTTGAGAAGTACCTCCTGCCTAGTGGAGTTATCAGATTCAAACCAAATTTGTTAAACTGCGAAGGACTGTTTGATCTGTCAAACAGTGTTGTCATGCTGAGGCGATCGTTGAACATGTCACGCTGAGCCAGAAAGTACTTCGACGTTTAAATAATATAAATAATAGTGCTTTGTGTTTATCTGAAATGTGCACTTTTTATTGTGAAAAAATAAACCCTGGCTATAGACTTTAGCAGCTTCCAAATAAACATAAATAAATGTCACAATGTCACGTCCTATGAGGAAGTGGGGTCTGATTGCTCCATTTTTAAATATGGAGTAAACAAGTCACTTTCTGGATGGACACTAAAATACTGTTTCTTTTTTTTTTCTCAGAGAACAATTAAATATAATTTATTATATATAGCTGCAGCTTGAAATGTGTAAGCTCATGTTTGTTTCATCTTTAAGGTATTGTGTTGATAAATGCTTTAGAAATTTTTACATTTAACACTAGAAGTGTAGAAGTTCATGCCAGCGCAAAATGAATCATCTGATAGCTCTCTATTCATAGTGTAATTTGTGTACTTTGCTTGGCTGCCATTAAGCTAAAATACTTAAAATTGCCCTTTCTTCTGTCCATTAACACATTCCTGTCTATTCATATACGCTGATTGCCCCAGTTCACCTTAAACAACTTGTAGGAAGTAGGCAAACCTGCCCAGCCCTAGGGCATGCAAAGCAGTGTCATCCTTTTGTTCAAAAGGAGAAAAAGTTCCGTGTAAGAGTGCCCAAAAAGGAAGAAATAGTGCATACACTGAAGCATTGTTCTATTTTTTGATGTAAGCGTTTAATTTCAGAACATGGCTTCCAGCTCAGTCTCATCGGAGCCACCTGATGTCCTTCAGGAGAGCGACAACGATGATGGTGGAAACAACTTATCGTTTCTGGAGGATGAGGACAACGATGAAGCAATGATGGATCTGGATGAGGATGATTCTGCCGATGAGTAAGTAACTTAATGAGGACACCTCAGAGAAGAATCCAGGACGTACAAAATGGAGTCGTGTTGTGAATGAGGCACATGAGCCGATATATCAGAGATTTACGAAGTTACATTTTACCAAATAAATCCCATTTATACATTCCAGGAGTGGCAGAAGTAACATAATTACATCAGACACACACACACACACAAAAACCTGATCAGGGAAAAAAATGAACACAAAGACATTTGAAAAACATTGAGGTAAGTGCCCGATCATACACAATGAAAAGGTGACATGGTAACAAATCTAGTGCTAGAGCGATTTTATTAGCCGTATTGTGTATTTATGGTGAGCCTCAGGTGAGCACACCAGGCTACATCAAATAAATTTTGTTTTAATACTTTTGTTACTCTTGTGCAGTAGTCAAAGCAAAGACTATTGTTATAGTTTTTATTGTATGTACGTCTTGGCTGGAACAAGTGGTGAACAATATTTTCCTCACAAAGGTAAACTTATTCTGTCTGCAGAAGTGATGATGCTGATGATGAGCAGTACACGCCACCAGCGAAGAGCCCACACAAGTCTGCTCAGTCAACATCTTCCCCAGCATGGAAGACACCCGAAGACACCGACGTGGCTCCACCAGCGATACGGTTCCGGCCTGCGCGACCTCCTGGGGTGCAACTGAATTCGGGAGACGTGCACACGCCTCTGGAGTTGTTCAAACTCTTCTTCTCTCCAGATGCTGTGGCGACGTTGTGTCAGAACACCAATAAACAGGTTGCCAGGAACATCGAACAAGGGCACAAGTACAAATGGACTGCTTTGACAGTAGACGAGTTCTACAAGTACATCGGACTCATTTTTTACATGGCACTGATCAAGCTGGACCACATCCAAGATTACTGGCGGCAAAACAACATTTTTTCCATCGCCTTCCCAGGGATGGTGATGACGAGAGACAGATATAGGACCATTTCCTGGAATGTGCACATGAGCGATCCGGATGAGGACCAGGAAAACGATATTAGGCGGGGAACACCTCAGCATGACCGACTTTTCCGGGTGAAACCGCTCATGGACAAGATTCGGAAGGCCTGCAAAACCTTTTATCATCCACAGAGAAACCTTGCGGTGGACGAACGAATGGTAGCAACTAAGGCAAAGACGGGTATGACGCAGTACATGAAGAGAAAGCCCACCAAATGGGGCTTCAAGTTGTTTGTAATGGCCGACTCAAGCAACGGATACACAGTGGATTTTGCTGTGTACACAGGAAGGGACAGCTCTTACACAGGTCAAGGGATTTCATACGACACTGTGATGTCATTCATGGATCATTCCTTCTTGGGGTCCGGGTACCATGTGTACATGGACAATTTCTACACGAGCCCAATGCTATTCAGGGACCTTCATGCTCGGAAATTTGGCGCTTGTGGGACGTACAGGGACAAGAAAAAGAACTGTAAGGACTGCCCGAGTACTACATTGAACGCTTTCAGGAGAACGTCACGCAGGGGAGACTTCAGGTGGTTCAGGGATGGTCCTCTGGTGTTTGTGAAGTGGATGGACGCTCAAGAAGTCTCCGTCTGCTCCACGATCCACGCAGCCTTCAATGGCGAGACGATACAACGGAAGGTGAAGACCCCGAAAGGGACCTGGGACACGCAGACATTTCCATGCCCTACTCCTGTCCTCAAGTACAACGAATACATGGGAGGTGTGGACTTGTCTGACCAACTGATCCAGTACTACACGGCCCAGCACAAGACCATGAAATGGTACCGGAAGCTGTTTTTTCACTTCTTGGACATTGCGGCTACGAACGCATACATATTGCACAAAGAGATTGCGTCGCAACAACTGCGCGATGCCTTGACACACAAAGCGTTCATGGAAGAGCTGACTGCACAGCTGTGCGCCATGTCACAGAAAATCCCTTTAAATCGTGCCAGCTGCGATCACGTACCGGTGCCCGTGGCCGAACTCTCTAGAGACGTCCGTCGGGTGGCTTCGCAAGGCCGCAGGAGCTGCGTCCTCTGCCGGTTGCAGCATTCTAAAAAGCGTAACACTCCATGGAAGTGCGGGGAGTGCGACGTTCCTCTGTGCCTGCAGCTTACTAGAAACTGTTTTCGTGAATGGCATGGTAACTGTCTTAAAGTGGAAAAAAAATAACCACCTATAATAGAATGGTGAATAATTTCATCTTATCTCCTAAATTGGCATTAACTATTATGCCATTAAAGGGATATTTCACCCAAAAGTAAAAAATTCTGTCATCAGTTACTCGCCCTGGTCATTCCAAACCCATAAGACTTTCGTTCATCTTCGGAACACAAATGAAGATGTTTTTAATGCAACCAGGGAGATTTCTGTCTCTCCATTGACAGTCCATGTAACCAAAACTTTCAAGCTCCATAAATTCATAAAGGTATCATAAAAGTAATCCATGTGACTCCAGTGGTTTAATCCCAAATTTATAAAAGCGATACGAATGCTTTGTGTGTGGGGGGAAAAAAAAAAAAAAAAGTCTTTATTCACAAAATATCTTCACTTTATTTATATGCTACCAATTGGACAAATAATCAAAGGCTATGGGTTTAACTTCCACTGTTATGCAGATGATATTCAGATTTATTTTAGCGTACCTTCCACCTCAGTGTTTCCTCTGCCTACATTAACAA